ATTCTCCATGAGTTTCAAAATCTGATCTTGGCTAAATTTCAGATTAAAACGCCACTGTTAAAATATTTTCATAATGGCTCGAGCATATTTTTCTTTTTGCTTCGTTTTTTTTGCCGAGGTTGGCTTCAATGATTCAAGCCTGGTAGGTTTGCGCATCGGGAATTCCTCAGAGCTGATTTGTCCATGAATCTGTGCAGCACGCAACGCATCGTCCGACATATTATCTGGTTGCCATGGCGCAGGCGGCCCCCCATTCATAACGCCATTCATATAAGGTCCCCCATTAGAGCGGGGTGGACCGACTCCTCCTCCCCCTGAAACAAAATTATACATTTATATTCTATGAGAAACATAATTTGAAAATAAAATATGTTTAAATATAAATCTTAATGACTACTACAATTTTTTATTTATAAAAAATGAATTCAAAGAAAGTTGTTTTCAAGTATTCTAATATTTCAACAACAAAGATTTTCAGAATGAAGTACACCTTACATTGTAAAATGCATTTGCTCATCACCATTGAAAAGCAAAAGTCTATATAAATGATATAGTAAGCACACTCATCTCCTCCAGGGAATTTACCAAGCCTGCATTAGGGCGCATGAATTTTGCAAATCACTCACATACAGACAGACACTCACACACCAATATACCAAACACCCACTATCCTCCAGGAATGTACCCACTGACAATCACCCCGACCCTCTTCCCCTCCCCATCAATGTACCTAGCCTCCGCTGTGTCTCCTGGGTCTCAGAAAGGAGCCTCTCTGCCCGCTTGTTTCTGAAGTAGTCTTGCGTAGGATCCTCTGTTTGCTGGAGTCTCTACAATAAAAAGTGCAAACGTTTCACCAATAATACAAAAAATTACTAAATTATGAAAATAATTAAGAAAGTTGGATAAATACTAGATTAAGTATGGGATAAATAGAATTATTGGTATCTACCTGAAGATATTTGTCCTCCCGTGGATCATCATAAGCACTTGCATGAACCTCTCCATTTTGTCTCCCAGGATTTCTATCAGCTGTACGTCCCCCCGGCATCACCCCCATGGATGGAAGATTTGACTTCTCCAAGAACAACTGGGGCATGATCCATTTCTGAGCATCATCGTCCCATTTACATTGTGATTTTATCCGATCAAGGTTACTATAGTTACAGTCTCTACGGAGACAAGGGTGGATTTTGTCAATAATGGCCTGCATAAGTTTATTCTCTTGCTCTTGCCTGCGGATTGTCGCCAGGTAGTCGATACGATCAAACTCAAACTCTGACTGGAGATCAATGATTTCTCTGTCCAAAGCTGTAACCTAGAAATAAAACAACAGTGGTAAAAAACAACAGTGGTGAAATAAAGCAACAGTGGTGAAATAAAACAACATTGGTGAAAGAAATAAAACAACAGTGGTAATGCAACATAGAAAGTTGATGCTCTACTACTTTGGCACCAATGGAATTCTTCCTCTACACTTTTCAAAAATTGATATTTTCTGTTTACTTGCTCTCCATTGAACATGTTGAAATTGATTCACCATGATGATAAACTAAATGTGCCTTGTATTCCAGTAAACATTTTCTATGACAGGGAAATTGTATGATACAAAGTGGGTTTGCTCTGAAGTCTAATCTTTTGATAGATACCTCTTATCTACAATAGTTGAAAGTTAAATATCTTTACCTTTTGCCTTTCCTTCTCAATAAGTTCATTTTTGACCTTGAGCTCCTGATTGATATCATCGTAAACATTCAGCATTATTCCATCATCTTCCATCTTTTTGACAGCATCTAAAACAAAGCATGGTATAATTTTGGTCAAAATTGGAATTTTCAACAATATTTTGTCCAAATTTTGATCTCCACTGAATAATAAGATTCCTCTGAAATTGGGTCTGAACTGAAAGAAAATTGTATTCATTCATTACTTTATACTTTATCTATCCTCATGGTTTGATATTCTTTAGCCAAAAACAGGAGCATAAAATTTTTACTGCATGCTCGAATTTTATTGACCTTATTCAAATAATTTGCTCTTAACTACATGTTTCACCTTTGAAAAATTGGTTATAAAACCACATATAAAATAAATAGACACATATGAAATATAAATGTTAAATTACCTGCCAATTTTCTCTTCCTGACTTCAACATGTTGTTTTTTCTTCTTCCTCCTCTCTTTCACTTCTGTGTTGTCTTTCTGTTCTCCCCCAACCATCTGAGCTTGTAGCTGTTCTAACCTGTAATGATATTCAGCATACATATTTGAGATCATCCTATTTGAGGTTCAGGATATTGGGATTATCCAAAGCCAATGAAATCAGAAAGGCCCATCCATTAATCAATGGAAGCCAAGATTTTGCACAAGTGTAATCTCTTCCAAAAACCTATGCTAGTTAATAGTTGATATCCGTCTTAATCATTTAAATAGATAATAATATATATAGGACAGACATTGCAAAACCTCCCCAAAAAAGAAATTTCAAAGCTTTATTTCATGCAAATGAGACACATTGTATTTAAACAGGGATCTGAAAAATTAAACAATAACATGAAACTCTTCTAAAATGTAATGATTCAATCTACACACAATCTACATGTATATACTGACTGACATCTATACATGTATACAAAACACATTGTACTGCAAATGAATCTTATAATGATTGATAACTTTATTAACAATTTATTTCTAAAACTCATCATATTTTACACCAAGTCACAACATAACAATGAAAAAATGAAATAGCAGAAAACTATGCATCATATTATTCTTATGCCCAGATTTGGGCGAAGAAATAAACTAAATCTAAGTAAGCAAAGTAATGAAATTTTATAAAGTATGCAGTCTCGTTTAAAGCCCATCTGACCCCCCCCCCCCCCTCCACACACATATGAAGTCAATGGTGGTGGGCATATTCTAAATGGAAAACTTATAATATAGCATATAGAAGCACTGCACAGCAATGGCACATCTAACATAATATCTAAAAGAGAGTTTCTACGCTTCCATCTATTCGGATACCTTTGATACCCCAATACAATGATACATCTATAGAAATCGCACCATTATACAAACTAGTCACAAACCCACCTTGCCATGGTTTCTGCCTGAGCCTTAAACAGCTGACTGTTTGAAGTAATTTTTATTAAAAATTATTTATTAGTTTTACAAGAGAGAATACAGGGTTGAACAGGGTTATATTGAACAGGGTTATATGCAACCTGAGATCAATGTACACCCTTTTGAAATAGGTAAATAGCTAATTGGCATATGACAAAGTTTGGTCAAAATTGTGAAAATGAAAATTTTGCATCCATTTAAAAAAACTTTTGATGACATTGCTTTGCCTTAATATGTTTTACACTTCGATAGCTTTTGAAATATTATGCAAATGTTTCTTTCTAGGGAGAGCAAAACTTGAGGGAGACATGAAGTACCCATTTATTCAGTGTTATGTTACATACCTTCTCAATGCCTCTTGGTGTTCCAGATTGACAGTGGTTTGCTCCCCTGTGGGTGACGCCCTGGGGGCAAGCACCCCCTCCTCGCCCTCATGTTGTTGGGCTGCATGGGTGGTCTCTATATGTACAGCCTGTTGAGCCCCAACTATGGCAGTTGGACTACCACTCTAAAATACAGAATATTACCAAATTTCACCCTTCTTCATTATTTAGACTTAAAAACATACATTATATTAAAGTTCATGCACACTGGTTCGATTCCCAGTAGTATCTTTGGTATATCTTTTATTTCTGATTTTCGACTCATCAGACAAAAGGATTAGGTGCAATCTTAATCAATGATAATTAAGATGTTTTATACCCTTAGTTTAATGGGGAAATTCACTGCATTGTGCGGAGAACATTTAAAGAAATCTGAAGTAGCATGAATTAGAGTAGTATCACACACATTCATTTCAGTTTGTACATATGTCTGATTTATGCATGTTGACTAATAATTTCATAAATTAGTACTTGTTTAGTATTTGAAAACTTGCTGCTATGATTGCCCTACCTCTACACTAGTAACACTGACTGCTCCTATTCTTCCAGGCTCAATCTCTGTCCCAACCTCTGTGCCAACTGCAGCTAGAAATAAGAGAATGAAAGTTAAGTTTCATCTACCCAGCAATAAAGCTGGTAGGTGTCATAATTTAACACTATTGGGGTTTAGAAAATAGACTAAAAACTTATTTGCAGCAACTTGGAAATGAGAAAAATCATGGAAAATCAAAATTTAGATAAATTGATACTTCGATCTGGATGCTGAAAATAAGACTTTTGTGACCGCTTTAAAAATTCTGAGAAAAACACTGGTATTTAGCCCACCAATTTAGCAATTCAATATCTCTTTCAACCACTTAAAATCAACTCAGAAATAGCTATATATCAACAATCAACTCTCTTGAATATGTACTTCAACTCTCTTATTAGTATAAAGAATGGCCTCAAAGTGGGCCTAGAGAACATCAGTGCTAGCAAACATGTAAAGGAATCCAAGATAATTAGAAGAGTATTCCTTCAACCCAGATTACTTTACCATGAGGCATGTACATGTATGGCATTGCATATATTACATACACTCCCCTCCATAAGTTTGAATACTGCAAGTTTTCATTAAATGACATATCAAATTCCATCAATCTTTGAATCTTAATTTTGTTCCTTTATTACAAAAGTTCAGAATTTTTTTTTGGGATGAATTACTTTAAAATAATTAATTGCCAAACATAACAGGCTTTGATAAGTGATTCAAAAGTGGACTTCCAGTTGTCAAACTTATGAAGGGGAGTGTACATCATCCTCCACATGCAAGGTCAGAAAAAGAGTTTAAAGGGAGAATCAGACACAACTTTATTCAAAAATACATCTTTTTGGATTATTAAGCTCCAATCATCTCAAGTCATGCCAGTTCATAGAAACTCAGATTCATACTTGGAAAGATTATTATCAAAACCACATTTATCATTTTCAAGAATTTTAAACATTTTGCATAGTATATGCTGAATGACCCTAAAACATAAAGCATCCTTTTCAAGGAGGCGGGATGGGTAAAGGGAACTTTATCACAAATATCTTTAGTTTCCGCCCATTGGCAATTCAGAATGTTAAAAGCTACACAGGCAAACCTGCAGTGAAAAATGCAAAATGCCACTGAATGCAACATGCCATTGAATGAATATTATACAGAAATGCAAGAAAGGAAAATAAGGGTCAAGGTCAATGTTAATGTTGAACACTCATAAGTATAATTAATATTTTAGGAAGGGCCATAATTTACTTTTATAATAAAATTACGATATCTTTTGTTCACATGAATTGATTCTATAAGGGAAGTGATTTCTAAATTGATTAAAATCAATAATCTAAAACTAATGTCCAACTACATTTTCAGGAGAGAGGGGGTCTAAAATTTAAAATCAAATGATGCTTTGAGACAACATTGACCTATTGACCTTACCCTTATAAGGAAAAGGTTACCATTTAAGGAAGAAGCGTGACTTACTCTCATCCTCAGAGTCAGAGATTTCTATAAAGTGTCCATCTTCTTGTACAATAAAGGTGCTCATAGCTAGAGTGAAGCAACATTAAGTGTGTTATATAACAGATATAGTGAAGAATGGTTCCAATATGGAGCAGGGCTCTCATCAGGAAATATTTAGGGTGTGGTGCTAACATCTTCAGAATAACCGTTCAATCATGATAAATCATATTTATGTTATGTTTTATCCTTTTTACATGCTATTATTGTATATTCAGTCAAGTTTAGACTGTGGAAACAGTCATGATTTGCCAATAGGGTGTGGAGGGAGCTAAATAGAGTGTGGTGCTGCGCCACAATCTAAAAGCCTGGCGAGAGCCCTGTGGAGTAATGTCAAACAATGACATGCACTGGCGCTGTCTGCGCTCAATAAACAATGTTTCCCAGGATGGATTGTCATGCAATTAAGGTATTTATGCACTTTTACAAAAACAAATGAAAAATTTGGGAAAATGTTTATCAATTCAATTTTTGAAATATTTTCAGATCTATTTTGTTCTGCCAGAATGTGTACATATTCACATAAAATATGGAAACATTAACCATCTCATTAATTACTGGTAGTTAAAATCGCCAAACTACATTAAACATTCTCGTCACAAGGATCTGCCTTAAAACAAAAAACTTACAAAACACTGACGTTACTGAATTCTCTGAACCATGATGAGGACTCCAACAGGACAGTGGTCCAGAATTCATTTTTTACCAGCATATTGTATATCTGAGTTTCATATCTAATGGAAGGTTGGTAGAAGTATATTCCCTATATAAAAATGATGGAATGCTAATCAGCATTGATATCTAGCATGTCATTGTTTCAACATTTTGGACAAATTAGCAGTGTAGGCAAGTGCAGCTATAGTAAGAATGGACAGTACAACTAGTCTATTAGAGCAATACTAGAATATAACTTCAATATGTCTCATAGAAAAACATTCAAAAATAACATACTTTTAGACATTTACTAGGTTTATAAGTGAAGTGAGCACTTAACTAAAGAATTAAATGAGAGAGTTTCAGCTAGAATAAGTAGAGAAGAATTCAAAAGTTAAAATCATGCAATTAAGGTGAGCAGAGTGCAACCTATTCTTGCATGGCATCAGAGTATCGCCTTGTAAAATGTCCAAGTTCTATATTTCACTCATTCTACTCTGCCAACCTTAATTCCATAATTCTCAAAGACAAGGCTGATTAAATATTTTATTTCTGAAAATGGTGAACAGGGACAACAACAATAGAGTCAGAAATGAGAGTTGAAAATATGTACTGTATTCAAGAATAAAACACTCAGATGTTTTGATATTGAAATTGACAAAAGAAGACAACATATTTCTGACAGAATTCCACAGATGAAGAAAACTATGATCTGTATGTCAGATTATGGGGTTTCTTCGAGATTGACCAAAATGTCTAACCCGAAGAGGTGACATGAATACTTTTGATACCTGTGTGGAGGGTGACTTGTGATTGGCTTGTGTCTGCAGTACGAGGGGAGCTCTGCTGTGCCATATCTGTGTGGGTGACCTCCCCTGACCCACCATCCTGTGCAGTTGTAGCCACACTAGCAACACCTGCTACTGCAACACCATCTATAAAAGAAATGAAATAATCAGGTTTTGACATTTTTCATTCTATATTGAATTTTATTGTATTAAATGTGGTGGGTATAGGATCTTGTAATCCTGTACATGTATTTGGTTTCATTTGATTTTGAAAACTATGAACTGTCTGCAAAATTGATAGCTTAATAACAGCTGTCAGGCTTGGTGACCAACTACAAGAATTCACCATAATTTGAGTTGCACCGAAGTTAGGCTGATCATGAACATTTAGAAACATTCCAAAAATGAATGTGTCTTTATTGAAGTGAACGTATCTGTTCAATCAATGTCATCACTTGGAATACACTTGGATTACAAACCTTGCATCGGACTAGTTATGCCCTCCTGGACATCTAGGGAGGAAAGTTTTGAATCATAGAACTCTCGTAATTTAGCATGCTCCTCTGCGAGCTTGGCTTTCCCAATTTTCTCCTCCTCATAGAGTCTTTTCATGTCATTCAGCTGATCTTCATATTCCTAAAAGGTGAATTCAGAATATGTAAGTAACGCATTAATGATATATGATATATACATATATATCATACTTATTACCCCATTAACTGCCACCAGTGAAATAGGTTGACAACTTGAAATATATTTCATGTTTACAAAAATAAAGGGATCTATTTTGATTTACAATCTTATCTAAAACTGTTTAGTGAAATGTTCTTGAATATACATGTAATATAATATGATCAGAAAACCTCAAGATGATTTTCTTTGCCTTGTTTATCAGATCTTTTCCAGGATCTAGGATTTTTCTCTCTTCACAGTATTAACAACAATGTATCTAATACTTCATTTACCCCCCTCCCCTTGCCAATTTTCTTTCAAAATCATGCAGTTTTTCACCATTCTGACTATTTTTTGAGTAATTTTTGGCCAAATTTGCCAAAGTGAACCCCCCTTGAATTTTTGGGAAAAGTGAACCCCCCTTGGAAAGTTCTGGCTACGGGCCTGTGCTCTCTCTATTTTATATCAACTGGTACCTTAAAGAATGGTGACGCAGGCTCTGGTTCATATAAGGCCTTTAATTAAGCCATTATGGTGTGTAATTCAAAGACTTTCTTTGGTTTAGAAATCTGTGAATTATGGTAGGTAATTATTTAATTTCATTGTATCATATTTAAGCCTTTGTGGTGTATAATAACTTATTGTAACATTCCAAGCCATTATGGTGTACATTTCAAATTATTCATTTGTATCAATCTAAAGGGATACTCCTTGCAATATGGTACCAATAACCTCTCTGCATGAAATCTTAAAAGATGGCAGCTTACTTGAAATGAGCGCTACATTTTTAAATGATCAATATTGACTATTTTAAAACATTTCCCCATGTTTTGCTTTAATATGGAAAGTATACTTTACCATATCAGGATAGAAAAAGTCTGGCCAGGAATGTCCCTTTAAGGCTTTATGGTGTATCTCTTTAATCAATGTATTTTCAATATTTAGTGAATAATATACCTTATACCATTTCATAAGAGTGGAATGTGTGATTCTCTTAATTTGTTATGTCAATTCTCTCGACATTATCAAGATCATTTTAGCTTCAAACATAAGATTGTCAGCTATTCCATTATATTAAAGTTGAAATAAAAATCCATAAAAAATATACATATGCAGCTAAGTATACGATGATTAAGTAAACATAAGAAGAAAACTTCTGCAATCAAGATTAACATGTGTGGCTTTTATAAATAAAGATTTTGTAATATTTATCATATTAGATGGTTGTTGTGAAACCCCTCACATTAATGGAATCTATACTGATAGAATATTTTCTCCTTGAAAAAATATTCCTGGTCATTTATACACTGAGAATGAGTATGAAAACAGCCGATTGATACAATTTTATGAATTTTGGGATTTTTCACATTTTTATCAAGCCAAATTCCTATTTACACATTTGGTTTTCTAGAATTTTGAATGAACAAGTTCTGGAGCGAATAGACCTGGTTTTCTGATACTATAGATCATCATAATTATAAAACATTCTCAGTGAATGGCCTAATAGTATGGTCGTAAATGACAGATTCTGATGAGGTAGGTGTCGCCTACCCCATGTTTGTGTAATATATCTCCCTGGGTGCTCTCATTTGTAGCATTATGTAATTATCGAAACAGGTGTATATAGTTAGATCTAATGGTTAGATAATATGATTATATGTGATTTACACCCATAATACTAATTGAGAAACACTATAAATGACAGAGAAAAACCTGTGCCATGCCATCTATCATAATTTATTTGAGATCTTTTCAATAAATCTATTTTTCCCCATCCATATATCAGGCCCGTAGCCAGGATTTATCAAGTGGGGTTCGTTTTTTTGAAAATGTTTGTGTAATTTTTTGCCTGTGTGCGCGACGCGCTTTGATTTTGCCTCTAAAAATGTATATTGCTTAAACTTTAGTTTATTATAAATTTTATTCTACCTTATACCATGGGCTTTCAGCCCATGCTTATACTTAATTTATATACAAACTGTTAGTAGACATACTAAAAGGAGAAACTTTTACGCGTACAGCGTGTTGTAGCGAACCGCGTTGCCGAGCGAAGTGAGACCCCGCAGAAATCTTTGAAATTAAGACTCTCTCTGGTGTAATTTGAGCATATCTGAGCATGATATTACCTCATTTAATTCCTAGTTATTCAAGTTTTACACATTTAAAAATCAATGAAGAATAAACATTTTTGTTACATTACAATAATCGTCATATTTAGCCACTATCCCGCTTCATAAAGTTCATGAACTATCGAGGAATGACCAAGTATTACAAATACATCAGAAAAAATTGAATTTCCAAAGAAATTAAGTAGACACTAATTTACTCTAAAATGTGGTAAAAGAGTGACACATTTTGTGATTCGCTGCATCCCCCCCCCCATGATTGTATCTATAAATAATTCGATGCCTTCTTCACCATACCAAACTAATATTATCTCAAAACAGTCAATAATGAATGAAGGAAATGTTCAAGTTTAATATGTTTCTCAACATTTCACAAAAAAAGCTAGTATAGGTTATCGGCGTACATCAATCTTTCATTTCTTTTTCACATTTCTCCTTGTTCTCCTGACTTTTATACGAAAAGTGATGATCAATAAGGTATAACTTTAGATCGATATCCAACAATCTCTATCTAATGAAGATAATTGGGGAATACAAGTCCTTCAATTTGGGGCCTCCTATGAGGATTTTACAATATTGTTTATTGTGGGTCATTTTAGCGATCTTTACTGAAACTCCATGTACACTTGTGAAATGACTCTTAAGGACATTTTTGGAAATTTTGACTTGGGAATCGCACAAACCCCTCGAACCCCCAGTCGCTACAGGCATGGACTTTCAACTAGAATTGAAAGCCTGCATGCTACAGAGTTGTGTGTATGATAGTATATCATTGTAGAAGGTCATTGGCACCTCTCAGTTGGGAGAACCCTGAAGTATCACATGCAAAAATGGAGCATTTTTGAACAAAACTAAATTGCTTTCAATTTACGGTACATGCGCTACAATATTAATGGAGAGCCCAAAAGTACTAAAATTATACTTCACAACATATCCATTCTTCAATCATGTACATAGGCTGGATTAGCTAATTTCAAAAACCACTATCAATAAAAGTTGTTTTTAATAATTTAAAGGCATTTTTATTGATGATGAAAAAAGCTTTTTTGATAAACGTTAGCCTCTGGTTTATCAAGTAAAACAGAGAGCGACATATGATTCAATCCTCTATCCAATATTACCGTAATCGCTGTTAATTATGCCTACTACCTCTAATACACCAACTTCATATAACAAACCAAAGATTGAATGATTGATGAAAAACAACCTTCATTTAAAAAATGAAGTGATTGACAAAAAGCAATGTACATGGCCAATAGACACTAATTTATGATATCCCACCACATGTTAAGGATATTCAAGGTTTTCTGTGACATATGATGAAATCACAAACTAAGTACTCCTACTTTATAGAGTAAGGCTGTCATACTTCTTTTTTTAAATCTTAAAGCTATTTTTGTGGTATTGACATTAAATGTTGATGGTGCATTCATCACTTAAAAAAACTTGTTTAAATTATCTGAAAATGAATAAACATGTACACGTAAATACATCTAATGCCTGGGTCACATTTGCTCCGATCCATTGGCCAGTGCCCAGCCGATTGAGTGTTTTGTTCAAAATTGTATTCAGTTTTGAATATTATACTCAATCAGCCAGGCGTCATATTGAAAATCGGAGCAAATGTGACCAAGGCATAAATGAATTGAATTATGAGATTCTTGTGATAAAACACTCAGCTAATAGTTTATAAAAACAATTGCTAAAATTAAAAGGCAATCAAGAGAATCAAGACAGCAATCAAGTTTGGCAATTAAAGCTAGTATAAATGCAATCATTGAGAAAATGAAGTTTTATATGTAAATTAGTTACATTATGTTGTGAAAGTAAATGTAGTAAGTTTATAAGTTGAAGTAAAGATAGAGTTGGACTGGTACAGAAGTAGGTGTTTAGGGATTTGAATTATGATGAACTTGAAACAAATAAAAAACTTAAAAATACTTCTTGACATCTTAGACAACTTGGAGCCCTTAACAACTCAACCCATGGATATAACCCCTAGACAACTCATCACTGGGAAACTCAATTTCAGGACAACTCAACCTGTGGCTATAACTCATAGACAACAAATAAAGAACTCTAAAATACTTCTTGATATCTTGGACAACTTGAAGCCCTTAACAAATCAACCTAAAGACAACTCAACCCATGGATATAACCCCTAGAAAACTAATCCCTGGGTAACTCAATCTCAGGACAACTCAACCTGTGGCTATAACTCATAAACCACTCAACACCTAGACAACTAAACCCCTTGACAACCCCTTCTTAGGAAGGTATTTTGAATTTATCAAGCACCCAGTGTGTTTATCACAGTGAATATGGTATAGCGTATGTGACTATAAAAAGACGATGTAACTTTCACAGTATTCAATATCTAGTGCGACAATGGAGAGCAATCACCAGAATGATACAAATGCAACACTAGTAAACGCAACAAATTTCAATGATAACAATGGAACATTTACTGTCACTTTTGTCAATTCAGTTTTTGAAAAGACATGTTTTTATACAATAACTACCATAGGATTTTTTGGAAATTTACTTGTGCTTTTCGTCTTTTTTAAATCAACTGAATTACGACGCAAGATGAGCAATATGTTGATCATGAACCAAAGTATGATCGACATGACTGCATCATTGTTCATGTTTCTGAGTAAAATGTTCGATGGTATGGATTACCCATGGATAACTGAACCAGGACTGAAAGTGACCATCTTTTGCAAATTCTGGCTATCTGAGTACATCCCTTGGGCCAGTATGGTTGTATCGACCTTCAACCTCGTAGCATTGACCTTGGAACGATATGTGGCCTTGATGCATCCGCTATTTTACAAA